CTGGGGGGTGATTTCTCGCTTTCTGTCTCTATGTCTCTCTCTGTCTGTCTGGCGAGTGCATGCGCCCTATAGCGAAAATCTCTCCAAAAAAATAAAAAAACAAAATAAAATAAATAAAAATAAAAAAATTAAAAAAAAAAAAAAGATTGTCACCAACCTGCTCTCTGTGGAGGAAACAATCATTAAAGGCATAAGAATGGTGATCAAGACCCATTCCTAATTTGAGGCAAGGAGGCCCTGGACCTAAGCCACCAATTCCCAGACACTGTGTAGGTCACGTCCTACTTTGGGTCTCAATGAAAGGACAGAAATGAATGCCTTTGTGCCTCCCTCCTTGACAGTCATGGAGCTTTGATTGAGACCTGGAACGAGTGCTTGGCCCTCTCTGGCCTCAGAGTCCTCGCTGCCAAATGGATCGGGCATCTGGGGCCTGGCCAGCTCTAGAGCATTGGAGGAGGGGGTAAGAAGATCTCTGAAAGGGACGCAGGGTCTAAGGTGACATCTCGCCCAGACGTCCTCCAAAAGGAGCCCTTTCTTCTACCTTCACCACCAAATGAAGACCCCTCTCTCGTTTTAACAAAACGCAGCGGGGCTAGAGTAGCACCCTCCAAGGTAGGAGCGGCCCATTCATTCTGTTACTCCACTGCACGCAGCACACGCCCGACGCGCAACTATGAATGAACGTAGCCGCTGGACTCAGCTCACTCGGAGGTGCTCACGGCCCTGGGCTTGCCTCCACAGAGATCTGTCTCTTCAAAGACTTCGCTTTCCAGGGCCGCAGGGGGCGTGGTGGCTGGGGACACTGGACTCCCACGTGGCCGACCATAGTGTGGAGTTCTGGACCTGGCAGCTTGCTTTTTCACTTTCTCTCTCTCTCTCACTGTCCCTCTAGGTTAAATTAAAATAAATAAATGAATTAAATTTTTAAAAATAAAACACTTCACTTTCCTAAATCTAGGGGTTTTTTTTAGAAGAATTTTTAAAATTTAATTTTATTTACTTATTCATTTATTTTAATTTGACCAGAGAAATACACACACACACACACACACACACACACACACATACAGAGGTGTGTGTGACCTGGGGACAGGAGGGTGAAGTCTAGGCAGAGGGTCTTTGGTGGTCATAATCCTTGAATAATTATTTTTTTTAGAGAAAGTGTTTTTGCTATAGAGCATGTGTACTCGCCAAAGAGACAGAGAGAGACAGAAAGTGAAAAATCAACCCCCAGGGCGGATGGCCATGCTGCAATCTCTTCTCCATTTTCCTCTCACGATTTTGGGCATATATGCACATGTGCCTGGCGCGAGTTTTCTCTGGCCAGGAGCCAGAAAATATAAGGGAATTCATGGAAATCTCAGCTAAAGAATGTAAAATATTCATAGTGACAAGGCTAACAGAGATGCAAGAGAAGAGAGCCAACAAACTCCAGAAGATGCAGGAGAAAAGAGACACTGAGTTCCAGGAGGTGACGAAGTTCTTGCACGATCTGAAAGAGGAAACACACACCATAAAAAGGAATCAAACGGAATTGTTAGAGATGAAGGCTGTAACACAGGAAATCAAAACTTCCCTTGAAAATATCAAAAGCAGGTTAGATCATGCAGACGATCAAATCTCAGATGTAGAAGATAGAACCTCTGAGCTAGAAAAAAATCACCAAAAAGACTGAGAAAATAACTTTAAAAAAAAATGAGAACAACATACGAGTAATACTAGATACCATTACACGCCCAACCATCCGGATCATTGGTATCCCAGAAGGTGAAAAAACTAATAAGGGCATAGATAATCTAGTCCATGAAATCCTAGAAGAAAACTTTCCAAACCTAGAGAGGCATTCAAAGATCCCAGACCCAAGAAATACAAAGGACCCCACAGAGAATCGACCCAAGAAGATCTTCCCCGAGGCACATCATAGCCAGATTGACCAAAACCACAGACAGAAACAAGATTCTGAAATTGGCAAGAGAGAAGTGTCAAGTTACTTTCAAAGGATATCCCATAAGGCTAATGTGGACCTCTCATCAGAAACAATGCAAGCAAGGAAAGAACGGTAAAATATATTCAAAGTGTTAAGTGAAAAACAATTTCAACCAAGAATATTATACCCAGCAAGATTTTCTTTCATATTGGAAAAAAGACAAATATCTCAGATAAACAAAACCTGAAAGAATTTTCCGACACCAGACCAGCTCCAAGAACTGCTGAAGGGAGCGCTATACCAGGAAAACTAAAGTTGGACACACAGAAATAAGAGTACAAGAAATAACCAAGAGAATGGCCAACCTAATGGTAGGGACAAGTCCGAAGTTGAATGTCAACTTTCAGAGTTTAAATGGAAAGATCAGACCACAGTGACACTGCAAATTCAATATAAGCGAGATTAATTACATGAGTCTAAACCAGTAAAACAGAATTTTTTGACTTTAGACTAAACCATATTGATTTTCTTTGATGCTTAGATTTCCTTATTTAAGGATTTTTTGTCTTCTCTTAAACTGTTGATAGGTTCATCTACCTATTTGAACTGAATCCCAACCTACCTACTATTTAAACTGAATCCTAATCCTTTTTCCTGGCTTTAAGTTTTAAGCAAATTTCTCTTAACAGTTTTTAAAATTTTGATCTAGTAAAACTAAAACTGTTTTCTTGACATTAAAAACGCATTAAAAATACCTATTAACACCTATTTAATGACTGTAGTAAGCTATATAGCCCCAGTGAGGTGCTACTTTATAGTACGTTCGGTTTACTCACTGAGGTTTATGCCTAAAGCCAGACATGCATTCATAAACATGTATATATCAGCTGTGCTTGCTATTGAAAGTCTTTAAATTAATTAAGATATTTTGCAAATCAATAAAATGTGGAAAAAAAAAAAACTCTATAAGAAACGAGAAATAGAAAATAATTTGTTGACAACATGTATGGTAATATCCTTGATGAGCCAACATACAGCGTATTCTGGATGGAAATTTCATTTTATATACTGTATCGATGTACCGTGGATGACTATAAATAAATAAATAAATAAATAAATAGTACATATTCCTGGAACAAGGGCTTGGAGCTTTCTTTTTTTTTTTTTTTTTTTTTTTTTTTTAGGGGTTATACGGTGTATAGGGCGTGTGCGCTCGCCAGACAGAGAGAGACAGAGAGACAGAAAGCGAGAAATCACTCCCCGGGGAGATGGCCACGCCGCAATCCCTTCTCCTCCATTCTCCTCTCAGGATCTTGGGCACACACGCACACGCGCCCAGCGTGAGTTGAAGCCACCGGGTCCGGGACTCGAACTGGGGTCGACTACGTGGGAGTCCAGCAACATAGCCATTACACTAAGTGCTGGTCCCGAGCTTTCATTGAATCCTCAAAGAGAAAATGTGTCGCCTTCTGCTGCTCACGCGCACTGAGTTGAGGACCCCACTGCCCTGTGCTCAGAGCACGGATGGACCTCAGCCACAGCAATCGGGGGACGTGGTATGGACAACCCAGGTGAGACTCTGACTCCGAGTGTGTGGACGGTAGAAGGGAGCAAGAACCACACGGCTTACCCAGAGAGCCAGCAGCAGAAAGAGGAAGAGTCACAGGTATTTGGGCCTTTCTGACCCTCCCCTCTAAGGCAGGGATGAACTGTCCGTCTTTTTAAAGTTTTTGCCATGGGGCATGTGCACTTCCCAGAGAGAGACAGAGAGAGGGAGTGAGAACTCACCCTCCCCCCCAGGGGATGGCCAGGCTGCAATCCCTTCTCCTCCATTCTCCTGGGACTTGGGCACATACGCACACACGCACACGCACACACACACACACACACTGGCATGGTGTTCAAGCTCCCATGTCCAGGACTCAAACTACAGAGACGGCCATGTGAGATCCAGCCACCTTCACTACCATGCCACCTACTGGCTCCTACTTAGGGCTTTCTACCCCTCCCCTCTAGGCCAGAGAGGAGCTGTCACGTCTTTAACCTCTTCTCAGCTGGGACCTCCCTACAGGAAGCTCTGTCTGAATTCCCCGCCTGCTCTCATGAGCGTCTCACAGGCAGTGGGCTTCGGTATGCTAGTGTCCATCCGAGCTGAACGGGAGGCTTAAACTCCAGTACTTATCGTCTGGTTGGCACAAACATTTTTTTTTCTTTTCTTTTCTTTTTTCTTTTTTTTTTAAGCTACAGGGCGCATGCGCTCGCCAGACAGAGAAAGACAGAGAGACAGAAAGCAAGAAATCACCCCCCAGGGGGGATGGTCACACCACAATCCCTTCTCCTCCATTCTCCTCTCGGGATCTTGGGCACACACGCACACGTGCCCAGCGTGAGTTTAAGCCACCAGGTCCAGGATGCGAACCTTGGTCGACTACATGGGAGTCCAGTGACATAGCCATTACACTAACTGCTGGTCCCAACAAACATTTTTTTAATGGCTAGAGGGTGTGTGCACTCCCCAGAGAGACAGAGAGAGGTGGGGGAGAGGAAGAAGCACGTCCACTCTGGCGTGGTCATGTCACAATCTCTTCCCCATTCCCCCATCCTATCAGGATCTGGGGCACACACATGCCCCTGGCATAATTTTTTCTTCCTTTTTTCTTTTTAAAGAATTATTTAACTTTATTTATTTATTTTACTTTGACCAGAGAAGAACAGAGTGAGTGAGAGAGAGGGAGAGGGGAAGCGAGAAAGCGATCCGCCAGGTCTAGGACTTGAACCGCATTCAGCCATGTGGGAGTCCAGCACCCTTAACCACCATGCCCCCTGCTGGCCCCCAACCTCTGGCATGGTTTTCAAACCACTGGGGGCTGGGATTTGAACCAAAGCTGGCCATGTAAGATCTGGCTCCCTTAACGACTAGGCCACGGGGCCGGCTCTTAATACCCAGGAGGACTCACACCCAAGCTTCTCTGACCGTCTACAAAGCGCGAGCGAAGCCCTTGGCTGTCTCAAGCTCCAGACTTCTCTGGGGCCGGGTTGCTGGGGAGAAGGGCGGCGCCCAGTGGAAGGATACTACACGAAGGAGGACCCGTCATCGAAGGTGTAGTGCAACTTGATGGCCTTCTTGGGCACCTTGGACTCTTGAGAGTGCCGGGGGTACTGCGAGCGGTGGAGGAACGGAGGGTGGGCCGTGGGGGTGGGGGCCTGAGCACCCACAGCCTGATAGTGATGGGTATTGGGCGTGTGCGAGTCCCCTTTGGAGGCCGACGCCGGATGGATGGGGATCTTTGTCCTGTAGTTGCGTAAGACCATGGGGTAGGAGACGTTCCTCCCTTTCCACGAGGTCCTTTCGGCTTCTCTGCAGGGAAGGAGATCAACGGGTGTTCTAGCCACGTGGCTCTGGCCCACCAGGGAGGCCCCCTGTACGCCCTCCCCAGCACCCAGGACTCGCGCCTTCCCTCTCCCAGAAGCCCACACCTCTATCCCAGCCCCCCCTCCCCCCCGTCCCTAACATCTGGAAGACTCGTGAAGGAACCTCAGAGACCAGCCCTTGCCTGACCTCTTCAGTGTGGACGTGAACACTCTGGAGTGTGACTGTGTGTGTTGGGGGTGTGAGGGGAGGCTGTGTGCAGGAGAAGGGGGCCTGCCCTCCCTCCCGACCCCCCAACCCCTGTCCCCCTGTCCTGAGGTTGCAGGGAAGAGGCTTCCTTCCAGCATGTCACCGCAGGGAGGCAGAGGGGCTGCGCTCTGCCCCGGTCTGGCTCAGCGATGACCCGGGCTACGGCTCAGATACCAGAAGTGAGTAGGTTTCAGTCCTTCGTGGCCCACCATCGGGGCCTCCGAGAAATGCCGAGTGACTTCTCAGGTAGCCTCTTGGGGTCTCCAACACCATAAATACGGGTCATCCTCACTCGTAAGCATGTTTTTCCTTTGCTTTGCTTTGCTTTGCTTTGTTTGGGAGTGTTTTGTTTGGGAGAGCTTTTTATTTTGGTTTTCGTAGGGGGCCACCTTGCAATTCACGTTAAGGCAAAGGCTGCAAGGCCTCGCTGGGAGGGAGGGGGTAAGGCAGCAGCAGAGACGGGGCACTGGGAACTGGGCAGTGGGTAGGGCGCGGGCCGGCAGAGCTGCTGCCTGAGCTCAGGTGAGTCCTGATCTACCCATGCGCCCCAGCTGCCCGTCTCCTCTTGGAACGTGGGCATCAGTCCCCTCTCCTGGTACGGGGCAGTGAATCGGGGCGAGGATGGTGCGTGGGGAACAGGACGCCCCTGTGGCTGCTGCCTGCCTCCCCGCCCGGCTCCCCGCCAGTGCCTGCACACACACGCAGGCCCCGGGGAGAACACCTGTCACCCTGACGCAGCGCTCACATGCAGCGGCACAACTCCTGCAGCTTCTCCCGGGCCTCGGGGCAGGGGTCGCTGAGCTCTACGCTGGTCGAGGTGGAGGTGCCCGGTCTCCGCAGGGGTGAGGCCGTGCTCATGTCTTCTACCATTTTCATTTTGCCTGCAGCTAGGAGCGACAACGTTGGCAGAGGGTCAGAAGCCAGTTTTTTGGGACCAGCAGATGGTGTAATGGTTACATCACTGGACTCCCACATGATTGACCATGGTTCAAGTCCTGGGCCTGGCGCTTGCTTTCTCATTTTCCCTCTCTCTTTATGTATTTAATTTTGACTCGAGAGGGACAGCGAGAGAGGGAAAGTGAGAAAGCAAGCCGCCAGGTCTGGGACTCAAACCACAGTCAGCTATGTGGGAATCCAGTGCTCTTAACCACCACGCCACCTGCTGGCCCCTCAAATAATTCTTAAAAAAAAAAATTCACGCTGGGTGGGTGTGTGTGCGTGCCCAAGATCCCAAGAAGAGATGAGAGGAGAAGGGACTGCAGCGTGGCCATCCCCCTACTGGGGCGTGATTTCTCACTTTCTGCCTCTCTGTCTCTCTCTGTCTCTCTGGCAAGTGCATGCGCCCTATAGCAAAAATCTCTCTTGGAAAAAAAAAGAAAATGACTTTTCAAGACCCGGTGTTCAGCCAGGACAAGGGAGCTGGGGGTCATTTATCCAGAGACAGGAATCCCTGGCCGGTCACCCAGTCACTTCCAAAGCAAGCATCGCTGTGTGAATCCACCGCAAGGCACGTGCTGGAGACCGACTTACACACGTGCGCCTGGACCTGCCGTGTGCCACAGCTGCGGCCTGTTTCCGGCAGGGCTCCCTTGACCCTCAAGGGAGTCCCTTTTGATACTCCTGATTAAAGACACAGTCTCGTTCTCGCCTCCAGCGGCCTCAGCACCTGTTGGATGCCGGCGGGGCTGGGGCCTTTGGCAGGGAGCAGCAGGTTCCACTGGAGGCCCGCAGTGATCTGTCCCGGCTGGGCTTCCACTCACGGCTGATCCCCACAGCCAGTGCCACAGGTGACGGAGGTGACTGCACCGAGTCCCGCTCGGTGGCTGGGGAGCCCTGCAGCCCTGCTCTCGGCCTCTCCCAGCGGAGCCTCCGCAGGTACAGCCTTGGTGCCAAGATGAAGGCTGGGTTTGGGTGGAGGACATCCCTGGGCTCTGGCTGGGCTCCGAGGGCCTCAGAGTGAACCGTTCTCCCTGACCTTCAGCCTTGGCCTTCTGTCTCTGTTATCTGCTACCAGGAGCGTCCCGGTCCTTCTCCTTCTCCCCTGCCTTTAGCGGACAGAGACTGGACTCTGAGCTCAGACCAGGGCCTGAGGCCCAGCCACGCGCTGGCTGGCCACCCAGTACCCACGGCCTGAACGTCCTGTCTGGCCCACCCCGGGGAGCCTTGGAGAACAGACTCTTGCTCCCACCAGGAACTGCTAACACACTTCTCTCAGTTCTCTCGAACTCTGGAGCACCTTCCAGGAAGAGCCGCTGTCCCCTTAGGGGCTGGGCCCCCTTCCTGGTGCAGCTGCTCCCCGTGTGCCCGAGCCCAGAGCTGCCAGCTAGCGTGGTGTGACGGCACGTGTGTGTGGGAGACAGTGGAGGCCGCAACACCACGTGACGTCAAACCAGAATGGCAGCGTACTGAGGGCTCCGGCTCGGGCTGGGACGCGTTAGAGGGAAAGGACACCTCGCGTAGTGACGTGGGAACCGTGGCATAAACCGGGACGTCCTGAGGCAGGCTGGCACAGCCGACGCTTTGCGCGTAAACTGTCAGGGAGGTTTTGTTGTTGCTGGTTTTGGGTGTTTTTGTTTTGAGAGGATCAGGTGAGGTTAATCAAATCCCCAGCATGCATGTGTGAGGCAGATTCTTAAACAATAGAACAGGTGGGAGACCAGCAGATGGCGTCGCAGTTAAGGCACTGGACACTCCCATATGGCCGACCACAGTTCAGGTCCCGGACCTGGTGGCTTTCTCTCTCACTTTCCCTCTCTCTCTCTGTCTCTCTCTGGTCAAATTAATAATAGTAATAATAATGATGATGATAATAAATGAATGGATAAACACAATTAAATAATTATTTTAAAACAAACAAACAAAAACAATAGAACAGAGGCCAGCTCCATGGAGCAGAGGTAACACACTGCTCAAGACATGCCAATCCAGGGACCAGCAGTTAGCGTAATGGCTATATTGCTGGACTCCCACGTAGTCGACCACAGTTTGAGTCCCGGACCCAGTGGCTTAAACTCACGCCAGGCGCGTGTGCGTGCGT